CTTCCGCTGCCCCGACTGTGGGAAGGGATTCAGGCACAAGTCCCATCTTGTCATGCACCAACAAATCCATACTGGGGAGAGGCCCCATAAGTGTGAGGAATGTGGGAAGAGCTTCAGCCGGAGCTCCAGCGTGATCCGGCACCAGGTAATCCACACTGGGGAGAGGCCCTATGAGTGTGGGCAATGTGTGAAGCGCTTCAGCTTGAGATCCCAGCTGATGAGGCACCAGGTGGTTCACACTGGGGAGAGGCCCTATGAGTGTGAGGAATCTGGGAAGAGCTTCAGCTGGCGCTCCACCCTGATCAGGCACCAGAGGACCCACACTGGGGAAAGGCCCTACGAGTGTGAGGAGTGTGAGAAGAGCTTTAGCTTGAGGTCCGAGCTGATCCGGCATCAGAGGACTCACACTGGGGAACGGCCCTATGAGTGTGATCAATGCAGGAAGAGATTTAAGTCCAGCTCTGATCTCCTCCAGCACCAGCGCACGCACACAGAGGAGAGGCCCTTCCGCTGCCCCGACTGCGGGCAGGGCTTCAGGCACAACTCCCATCTTGTCATGCACCGACAAATCCATACTGGGGAGAGGCCCCACGAGTGTGAGGAATGTGGGAAGAGCTTCAGTCGGAGCTCAACCCTGATCAGGCACCAGAGGACCCACACTGGGGAATGGCCCTACGAGTGTGGGGAGTGTGGGAAGAGGTTCAGACAGAGCGCCAACCTGATTCAGCACCGGAACATCCACACTGGAAAACGGTCACACAGGTGTGGGAAATGTGGGAAGGGCTTCAGGCAGCATTCCTACTTGATCCGCCACCAAAAGATCCACACTGGGGAGAGGCCCTACGAGTGTGATAAATGCAGGAAGAGGTTTAAGACCAGCTCCTGTCTCCTCCGGCACTATCGCATTCACAGAGAGGAGAGGCCCTTCCAATGCCCCGACTGTGGGAAGGGATTCAAGCACAACTGCACCCTCGTCACCCACCAACGCATTCACACTGGGGAGAGGCCCTACGAGTGTGAGGAGTGTGGGAAGAGCTTCTCACAGCGCTCTCACTTGAACAAGCACCAGCGGAGCCACCAGTAAGGGAGGCCCTGCGAGTGCCCCGAGTGCAGGAGGAGGAGCTTCGTGTGCTGCTCCAGCTCCATCCCCCACTGGAGGAGGCACTTTGGGCACAGCCCTGGTCACTCATCTATGGCTTCTCCTTTCCGTTTGTCCTGAATTTTCTTCTGCTTCATCTTCATCTCTTAAGAGCAGCCAAACAGTGTTAAATGAATGAAATTGATCAAAGATGTCCAAAGTCCCTCCATTAATCAGGAGTTTGAGGGGGAATTTAGGACTTGGGGACACATTCTGTGTGGAGTGCCTCTGTGTCTAAGAGGCAGGAATTTGATTTCACCCTTCTTGTGTTGCTAAGAACTCTTCCCTTGACCCAAACCCCAACTCCAGCCCTGGGATACCCTATAAAAACCCCATGGCTCTGCCTTTGCCCTGTCTGTCGGGGGTCAGAAATGGATTCTGGAGCTTTCTCAAACCAAGACCCAACTTGTTTGTTCCTGACATCAGCAGCTGCAGCCTCCCTGGATACCATGAACTCTGGAGAATGGGGGCAGCCAGTGAGGACAGGTCCTGGATTGCAAGATAAGTGTGTGTTCTGTTTGCCATCTGTCAGAGGTGGGGCAGTTATCTTCTGTTCATTGGGCAGTTTATCTCTTCCACAACCAATCCTCCCTCCAGGAGATATCTTCTGATAATGGACTGGCCATTAATTATTAATTATCTGCTGTTAATGGGCCATTGAGTGTCCCTGCATGGCTGATAAAATGACATCCTGCCATTAGGTGATGCTCCGCCCAGGAGGAGGAGCCAAGCATTCCTACCTGGATAGAATCTGAGGTTTGGAATTCCACAGCAGCCTTTTCCCACTGGATTCCCAGAGGATCAGCCTTTTCCCACTGCATTCCCAGAGGAGCAGCTGTCTTCTCCACTGGATTCCCAGAGGACGGAAGATTCCCCGGCCCATCTGCAGCAGCCCGGACCTTCAGAGGAAAACTCCACCCTTCTCCAGGATCCCTGCCCCAACAGAACCACACCTGGCACTGCAGGAGGGCTGCAGCCACCATTCGCTGGGACTGCTGCCAACAGCCTGACCCACAGGGTGTCAGGTACTGTTCTGACTCTGTCAGTGGTTTTGTTTGTTTGTACTACAGCATTTGTATTTTTAATTTTTCCTTATAAAACCTGTTATTCCTATTCCCATATCTTTGCTTGAGAGCCCCTTAATTTCAAAATTACAGCAATTCAGAGGGAGGGAGTTTACATTTTCCATTCCAGGGGAGGAACCTGCCTTCCTTAGCTGACACCTGTCTTTTCAAACCAAGACAATAACAGTTACTTTAACACACAGATATAAAATACATTTTAATATCTTTGAAAAGCCAATATTATAATATATGTGTATAACGATAGTGACCTTAAAAACATGGGGGTAGAAAGCTTACGAGGAGGGGAATTTCCAGTAAGGGAAGCAAAATTCCCAGTACTGGGACTGGGCCATGGGACCGACATCTACCATCATTCAGCGAGAGGTTTATTTTTATGGATATGTATTATAATATTGGCTTTTCACAGATATTAAAATAGATTTTATATGTGTGATGTTAAAGTAACTGTGTTGTAAAGATATAGTTTTGTTTTCTGTCATTAATTAAGCTTAGTGAAATAGCTGCTTGTGTTAAACTGCCTGCTTGGATGGGATAACATCCAATGCACACAGGATGAGGACACCTGTACAGATCTGCCAACTATCAGCACTCCCCGTCTCAAGGCAGAATGGACCAAGGCCCAAAAACTGGAGGTGATAAGAATGGACTAAAACCACAACCAAGGAATCTGCATGCCCTAAAAAGGCAGATCCAAGGAAGAGCCGTGCTAAACCGTTCTTGAAGCATGTAAACTAGTTTGGGGGTAAAGTTTGCTGTGCATGAGGGTCTATGAATATGCAACAGGCTGATGTAAGGGGAAAGGTATTTCAGGGGGATCCCCAGTGCCAAGATGCACCCGGCCGTGATAACCTTTGCTCCATGGTCCTGGTCTCCCATTGTCCTTTATTAAACTTTTTACATTTTCACAAGAGAGTGAACGTGTTTTTCACATTTAGGAACGGTTTAAGTTTTTTTGTTTTTCATGGGAGGGAGTTTTGAAGAGCTACAAGTGGCTAATCTGCCTGCAACAAGGACCATTCCACGGGCTCTTGTCACCTTTCCTGACACGTCTGCTGCAGCTCATGGAGGGTAAAGCCCTGGAGGCTCCTTAGGGGCGGTTATGGACGATTGCAGGCAGTGCCTTGATGCCCTGGATCAGCAGTGCCCCCTCCTGGGAACCCCCACATTTTGGGGGAGAATTTGGAGGGTTTTGAGGAGATTTGAGGGAGATTTTGTCTGGGTTTGAATCCTACGCCAAATTTGGTGTCCGGGAGGTACCAAAACCACCCAAAATCCACCCAGAATTGACCCAAAATTACCAAAAATTAACCCAAAATTTCCTCCAAATCCATCCTCTGGGGGTTTGGGGGAGATTTGGAGGGATTTTAGGGGAATTTTAGGGGAGAATTTTTAGTGGTTTTGAATCCTATGCCCATTTCGGCATGCATGAGGTACCCAACCCCCCCCCAAAATCCACCCAAAATTTTTCCTGAGGTGGTTGGGAGGAAGTTTGAGGGAGTTTGAGTGAATTTGGGGGTTCCAGGGGAGATTTTATGGGGGTTTTTGGCAGTCATCATCATCCAAAACACAACACCCCATGCCAAAGCCTAGACCAAACCCTAAGGACTGTGCCCCCCATGGAGAGGAGATCAAAGAACTGCACCCCTTCTGGGGAGGAGATCAAAAGCCAGAGGAGACTGAGCTATTAACTCATTAAGTAAAAACGTATTCATTTAATCAAGTATCATCATTTCTGTTACTTTATCCTTTGTGATTAAGTCTCGAATGCTTTTCTATTCCTTGTTAATTTAGCTGAATAATATTCATTTTGGTTTTGTAAACTATTAAGTCATATTCCTGATCTTATATATGTGGTCCCATATGTCTAATAAACCACAAACTTACAATTTAGCAGCAGTTTTAATTGAGATAAAATGATACGATCAAATAGCATCCAGTAGTTACAAAAAGAAATTTGGCAGTGGTTTGGATAAAGCATAAGCAAAACCCATCGATCAGGGTATGGGGAGGGCTTCCCACCCTGCCTCACGTGCAAAAGGCAAAAGGATCCCAACACAACTTATATACTGTGTGCTAATACATATTCATCAATATTTTCCTGTAAATCTCCTCCTATTTCCGATTCTTGAAATCTACATCACCACAGCACACACAGCGCATGCTTCCGCTGTGGCTAAGGGGGCTTATGGCTCTTTGGTGCTCTTCTTGGAGGAAGGCCAGCAGTCTTCCTCGCTGTCCTCTGAATAACCTGGCAGGTTGTGCACGTGCCCCAAGTCCTGTGTTATGTAAGTAAGCACTGTGTTCCAAGTAAGCCTTATTATTTTATAGATAAGAGCACTATTTTAGACTCCCTGTCTGGAATTGTCCCAACTTTATTCATGTCACAGCCGATCCTGTCCTGGGAGTTGTCTTAACTTTGTCTTGATGCCAATTCTGACTTGGGAGTCTTCCTAACTTTTGTTCATCAAGGCCAATTCCAATCTCCTGTATACTTTTTCCCACATGTATCATCTACAAAGAAGCCCGTTTGCTTCATATTAATCACATTTACATTTCCAATTATTTTCCAAAAATATTGATATAATTACAATTTTCTTAGCATGAATGACATTCATTTATCACAGAAGGCCAAAAGCTTGGAAAAGGATGAAAGAAACGCTCCGATGATGACAATGACAAAACAACCCAATTTATTTTTGACAGCAAATGAACGCCGGCCGCCCTCCAGCCCTCCCAGCCTGGCAGGCCAAGTGGGGCCATTCCCATGGCATGAGGCGCTAGCAGCCTGCGGAGAGAAACCAGAGAGCCACAGTCAGTCGCAGCAGGCTCCTGTCCCCCTGTCCCGCCATGGCTGTGCCCAGGCCAGGCTGCTGGCTGTGCTCAGAGCCCAAACCTCCCGAACCATTCTCTGTTTTTAGAGAAGGGCAGCGGGGCAGGCCACATTCCACCTCCTCTGCTTAATCACGGCACAGCAACCTCCTCAGCAGCTGCAGGAGCGGCATGCCCACGTGCCCGCTGCCGCCTGCCCAGAGCCCTTCTGCCAGCCGAGCTGTGGATCCGGATGCCCACCTCTGGAGAGCTGCTGCCAGGAGAGGAGCCGATCCCGCACCAGGTCCTCGTCCTTCTGGAAGGGGCTGTCCCTGCAGACCGTGGCCCCTGGGGTAGCACTGGCACTGGACGCGCTCCACGGATGCTGCAGGCGCTTCCCCGTCCGGTCCGGGCACCAGGTGTAATCCTCCTGGGAAAAACAAAGAACAATTGCATGAATGCCAATTCAAAACAAGACCTGGAAAAAAGAAAAAGCACAAAGCCTGCCACTGTTTCATTGGCCTGTGGAGAGTCTGACCACTCCATGGGAGAATTAAACCTGTCCACGGGTGGGGAAAATCCTCACCTTTCCTGCCCATAAACGCAGCCCTTCCTCAAGGGCCTGCAGAGCAGGCCAGCTGGGGCACAGCTTTGGAACCCGTCCCCCTCTGCCGCCCCCCATCCACATGGATGGATGCTTTTGTCAGGCTGGCTGCCCCCACCTCAGCCCGTGCCAGGCTGGCTGGCAGAAGCTGTCAGCAAGGCCAGGAGCCAGCTCCCCTTCCACAAAAAGCAGCTCGGCGGCCGGCGGAACAATTAATATTCCCCAGCGCTGCCGATCGGGGAACCTCTGGCGCGTGGCCAGGCCGAGCCCTGCCGTGCCTGGAAGCACCAGCATCCCCCCACCCCTGCGCCGGCTGGGGACTCATCTTAATTCCATCGGGGTGCAGAGCGTGTCCTCCAGGCAGGGGCCACAGCCAAAGCCAATCAGCCCTGCCCTGCCAGCAGCCAGCTCCAGGATGGTGTTCCCAGCTCCACGTCGTGCTCCAGAAGAACATGCCAGCTGTGCCTCGGCTTGCAGGGACATCACGATGCCATTGAGCTGCAGGGGGATGTTTCCCCTGTCCCAGTCCGTGGCACCTTCACTGCACTGCCACCACTTCTCCAGTGGGATGGGCAGCATGGATCCGCTCCCTCCACAGCTCACGGGGACCAGCGGAAGCATCTCCTTGGCTGCGCTCTCTCCTCAGCGCTGCGGCCACAGGGAAATGCTCTGGGGTTTTCTTCCAGCGCCACGAGACGCGTGCCGCTGCTACATGCTGGCTCCTGGATCCTACTGTGCACAGAGATGCATCTCTGCTGTCTCCTGGGCCAGGCAGGGCTCCTGCAGCCAAGAATGCTCAAAAAGGTCCTGCAGTGATGGCCTGTCTGTGGGGTCCATGCATAAACATCACCTGATGAGGTGCTGGCACTCTGCGGAGAGAAACCAGAAACCGCCGCTCAGCGGGACAAGGCTCCTGTCCATGCTCTCCCACATTCCACAATGCCCAGGCCACCAGGAGTGCTCAGAGCTACAGCCAAAAGCTTCCTATTGATCCTCTCTTGCAGAGGACACCAGCACAGAGGCGCAGGTGCCACCTCCTCCAGCTGAGCCCAGGAGATCCACCTCCTCACCAGCTGCAAGAGTAGGATGCTTATGTGCCAGCTGCCTCTCACAACCCCGTTCTTCCCCTCATGCCTTGAAGGTGCATCCCCACCTTGAGACACCCGTGGTGGGAAGAAGAGCTGGACCCTGATGATGTCCTCATTGGTGTGGAATGGAAGGTGCCTGCAGACCAGCTCATAGAGCAGGATGCCCAGGGACCAGATGGTGGCTGGCTGGCCATGGTAGCAGCCAAAGAGGATCCACTCTGGTGGGCTGTACTCCGGTGTTCCTATGGGACATGGGCGCAGCTCATCAGGCCCATGCTGCTCCCTCCCCCCCAGCCAGCTCCCGTTCCACAACAGCCAGCCACTGCCCTGCCAAAAAGCAACTTGGCTACAGCTGGCTGAAGAAGGATTCCCCCTCCTTCCCTCCCTCCTTCCTTCCCTCCCTCTTCCCCCTCTGCCAGCCAAGGGGGGAACTTTGCTGCCCTGCTGGGCCCCGGCTTTGGGCTCACCTGACATCTGGGTGTAGAACGTGTCCTGGAGGATCGTGCTGCAGCCAAAGTCGATGAGCTTTGCCTCACCTGTGGCCAGGTGGACGAGGGCGTTCTCGGCCTTGATGTGGCGGAGCAGGACACCGTGGCTGCTGCGGCACCGCACGGCCTCCAGCACCTGGCGGAGCAGCCCCCGCGCCACGGGCTCCGTCAGGAACCGCCGCTCGTGCAGGAAGTACCAGAGGTGCTGACAGCGCTGCGGATGCTCCATGAGCAGCGCGAAGCCCTCGGGCACCTCGAACCAGTCCAGGAGCCGCACGACGCCGCTGAAGCCAGGCCACGACACCTTCCACAGCAGCGCCGGCTCCAGGAGCACAAGGGCGCCCTTGCGCTGCGGGGGGACCGCAATGCTGTCAGCGGGGCCAATGCTGTGCTGCGCCTCGGGCAGCCCCTGCCCAGCCCCGCCGCGGCTCGCCATGACCTGGCCCGGGGCGCTGCGCGGCCCCCGCTCACTCCACGCTTGCGCTTGCTGCCCTCGCTGCCGCCCTGCCGGGCCTTGCCCGGCACGCCCCGCCAGCTCCTCCCGCTGGCCCTGCTCACTCACCAGCAGCACCCACTCCAAGATGCGCTCCTGGGACACTCGCTTGATGGCCACCTGCGAGCCAAGGCCAGCGGTGGACTTAAGATCACGCTTGGTTAAGAGTGTATAAGCCGGAGAACACGCAAATAAAAAAGACTTCTTTCTTCTCGTACCCTGATCACGTGTGTATTTCACGTCTGGCCTCATGGCGACAGTTGCCCCATCTCTGGGTCAAGAAACAAGTATTGTCTGACAGGTAACTTGTCAACAAACTGAGAAAGAAATTAGTACCTGGGCATGCAGATTTCTGAAGGGAGGAAAGAAAAGTGTTGACAACAATAAGCCTGAGTTTTAAATGCCTGAAACATTCAAAAATGACATGTTTTGGGATATTGTACCAGATGTTAGAAACAGTTCAAAGAAACCACAACGCATTAGTATCTGGACTTCAGTGCCAACTATGCTTTGAAATGTTGGTAAAGGCACTTTGTGTCAAAGATCCAGTTCCTGTTGGTCACTGTGGATGTAGATCAAAATCATACCAAAAAATCCATGTCCAAACCAGCAAGAATGAGACTTTTGTCCTTGGCAGTAGTTTCCAGGTGCTCCTGGAAATCACTAGGCCTAGACACAAAGATGTGTATTCAACGGAGGGAGAGAAGCACCGTGCTTAGCTCTAACTGTGACCTTTGCTAGCAGATCTTACTAGCAGGTAATAAATTCCATTTGTTCTGCTCTTAGCCAGAGCCAAGTTGGGAATCACAGTTTAGATCACAGGAGAAGATCACAGGAGCCTCAGTTTTTCCAGAAGAGGAGAAATACAAAGGATAGTAAATTTGGGTTGGGTTTTCAGGGTGTTTTTACAAATCCATAGACAAGTGATGAAGCTTAAAAGATGACAGCAAAGGAAAATCAACAGATATGCTGAAAGTGAGTGAAGAGGAAGGAGACTTTAAATTCACTGAAAAGCTGCACAGAAAGCTTCTCTACTTTTTGCAGTTGCTTCAAGTTTGAAATGACAAAGTCTTGTAGCACTTCCAACTTATCTTTATTAATTCTAGATTAAAGACAATCAAAACTGTGTGCTCCTGCTTACAGTATGCAGTAAAGCACAGGAAGCCATTAGAGTAAGAACAATTGTGTTTAGAAGGCTGAGGCGGCCTTAGGGGTAGGAGGAATGGGGAGGCGTGGACATCAGGCCTGTGGGCACCATTCGAGGAGCATCCAGGCCCTGAGCAGTCCCTCACAGTGGGTATCCCAGCAGATGGAGTCCAAATGCAGCCACAGCTGGGTGGGAAAAGTGCCGGGCTGTTGAGCCGTGGTTAGCAGGGGCTCCTGCATCAAATTGCTCCCTGACAGGTGTGGTATGCTGTGTGTGTGTGTGCCCAACAGCTGGCAACAGCAGGCTGGCCCAGATGTGGGAAAAGGCCAAGGAGGCAGCAGAGTGGGAATGGGGCTCTGCAAGAGGCCCTGGTGGTTGCACACACCCGTGGGGGATGAGGCTGGCCCAGATGGGCCCTGGGGCTCTGGGCTGAAAAGGGGGGAAAAGAGAAGCAGGGAGGAAGGGCCAGATGCCGCTATGACAATGCCATTCTATCCCATAGGTGACATAGTGAGAGGAGGGTGGGAACCAAATGGTGATTGCTGCTGATGACTGTGACATCTCCAAGACAAGAGGCCCAGAAAGGACTGCACATCTGCCTCCTAGTGTTGTCCTGAATGTGAGCTCATCTCCTGGTGTTCATTACCCGCAAGTCTCTCAGCTTCCCACGGGCATTCCACACTTCAGGTAAGCAAAGCTGCTTACCTCACTATGTTCTTTAGGCCTCTGAAAGGGACTGTCCCCTTAGCTACAGCCTGGCAAGGAAGGGAGTCTTACAACACTCTGGATATTTTAGACTTTTATTGGCACTCAGGCTGAAACAAAGCATCCCCTCACTACTTCTGCATCTTCATCCTTCTGTCCTGCAGGTGGCCTGTTCAGGCTGACAGATTGGAGCACCTGCAAGCTCCAGTTGGGCTGCAGCCCAGCTTTTCCTCTCACAGCTTAATTCTTATTATGACAATTCTTTCATTTCTACTTATAAGATACCTCAGAGCTTCCCTAAATTAACAACACTCTACTCTAAGCTAAACAATCCTCTATTATCTAAGCTATCTATGTTCCAAATGTTGGGATTCATAAAATTTGAGGGTTTTGAGAAAGTGGTAAAAAAGACAGGCCTCAGACAGCAGATTTGTGAACATTGCTAATACAGCAAAAAGTTTTGTAAGCAGTAGAGCAGACATGAGAAATAGAACAATAAGCCCCTGTGATTTGCCCTTATAGGTTGCAACAAGTTTATTTAATGTATATCTTTAGAAGGTTAGTATGAATGAGCCTCTGTGCTTTGTCTCTCATAAACGAGCCATGCTTTGTCTCTCATAAACGAGCCATTGTGTTAGAAAATAAGTCCTTATTTTGTTAACTACTGTTACGTGTGTTTCATATGACTGGATAGAATTATTGTCAATATGTTTTGCTTTATGTGTGATTGGCTGAAACTTAGGCTGAGAGGGTTTTATGCTACCCTGTAATGTGATGTTTCCTTGGCATTCCATTTGAATCAGCAAGCTGTAAACATATCCTGTCTCCATTGTCCTAACAATGTACTGAGACTGATGTTTGAAATAAACAGCTCACGACACTGATTCAGAGTGTCCCGTTCCGTTTGTGACTGTATATAGCGTGCCAACGCCACCATAGTCCTTAGAAGTTGATCCCTATATTTCCTAATTTTTTTAAACTTTCATCTTTTTGAGAAAGAAAAAACAACAGAGTTTTAAATGGAACCTAACACACCTAACCTAACCTAACCTAACCTAACCTAACCTAACCCACACGTAATCTAACCTAACCTAACCTAATCTAACCTAACCTAAGACCTAAACTGAGCAAATATGAAAACTGTCACATTTCCTATCTAGGGCACAGCTCCTCTTAATACTTGGGGGACGGCTGAAGCTCTGCCTCAAGATGACACATCCCCTTTTCCCTCCTCTCAGCTGGCGGGGCATAAGGGTCTCCTCAGGTGCAGGTGTCTCCTCTCCAGTCTACCTGCACTTGCTTGGCTGAAATGATCAGAGCAGCCAGGCTGGAGGCAGGATGGCCTGAGGTCACAAAGGGATGCTGCCCAGAGGATAAAGAACAAAGAAAGGAACTCTTACTTTCCAGGATCCCATCCTCATGGGCTCAAGCAGGATTCCCTGGCTACCAGGAAGACACACCAAGAGCACCGAGGGCAGTGTGTCCCCCTGCGCCTTCCTGTCTTGGGAGCTGTCTGCGCCATGTGGCCCACACTCCTCCTCATCCCTTCATGCAGGTGTCCTCAGCTGACAGGGCTTTTTGCCCCTTTGCTTTTTCTTACCTGCAGGAGTTCCTGGGCAGAGCAGCGCCTGTCCTCGTCTGCCTGCAGGCAGCAGTGGAGGAAGTCGTGCAGGAGAGCCGAGTGGTGCCTGGGCTTCTGCAGTTTTGGGGGCCCATTCCTTTCTATCAGTTCAAAAACCTACAGCACAAAGATGCAAGAGGACACTGCACCTCCTCCTTTGCTAGCCACATCAGCTCTCTCCATGATAGTGGAGCTCTGGGAAAAGTTAAAGATAGAATCTAAAATGTTAATCTTTGTGCTTTTCCCAGATCAACTGCACCTGCGTAAGCAGTATGATAAATTACATAATTGTTAGATGTGATGATTGTTTAGTAATTAAATATAATTACTTTATAACCAGAAGAAGAATAATTAGAAAATATGTTGGAAATTCAGAGAGGGGCTAAATTTATGTATACAATAGAACAATATAAGTTTAATAATTAACATGAAAGTTATATAAAGATAGAGTATAAAAACATGATCATTTCCGATGTATGGTCAGAATCAAATTTGGGTAATACCCTGATTCCCAGAGCTCTTTAATAAAAAGCACTGCATATAATCGCTCCGTGATTATGTGTTTTTGAACGCTAACATTTTGGCGACTCAGATGGAACCGTTGTGAGTGGTGCTGAGCGAGTTCGCGACTTGATCACGCTCCAGCCGGCACTGAGGGATTCTTGGGGAGCCCATTGGCCGCGACCGCTCCTGCCGCTCACAACGTCCCCGGGAGAAAGGTAAGGTGCTTTTTATACTTTGGTTTGGTTTTGGATGCCTGCCAAATAAGACGCAGCAAAAGCTACACTTGGTTGGGCTAAAGGAATTCTTGTTGGTACAAGCCTAGGCGCCGTTCCATAAGACAATCACGAAAGCATTGCGGGTTTGGCATTTGTGGTGTATTTGAAATGGAGAAATTTAAAGGGATTTTGGGCAGTAACACCCCTATCCCGCAAACTTCTCCTTTGGGGGTGCTTATTAGCACATTGGAAACAGGGTAACTTTGGGGAAGAATTACGTAAAACTAAGTTGATTGATTACTGTAATTCATGGTGGCCAGAATATGCCTTGGAGAATGGCGAAAAATGGCTAAAATACAGTACTCTGCAATATAACACTATTTCGCGGTTAATGTCATTTTGTAAACAAGAAGGAAAATGGGATGAAGCCCCGTTTGTTGATCTGGTTTTCTATTTACAGGGAAAGCCAGAATGGCAGGATGAATGTGGATTATTAGTGGTTAAAACATCTGCAAAGTGTGGGGTTTGTGAGGAACGTTGTTTAGAACACTTGGCATTAAAAGAAAGCTTGAGTAGGGAAAATTATACAGATGTTGAATTACAAGTAGGTCCAATAGGAGCTAAGAAAGCTACAAGAGAACCTAACCCTATCCCACCTGTTTCACCTGTTTCACCTGTCCCTATCCCACTACCTGCTCCTCACCCACCTAGTCCTGAGCCTGTCTCGTCTAGTACACCTTTCCCTCTTTATCTTCCTCTCCCATCATCACCCGGTCCCTCTTCCTCGGAAGATGAGCAAAACCTAACTGTGATAGAAAGGAGAAAGAGGTATGCGAGTGAAAAAGATAGCAATGGTAATGAATCAGTGACCCCAATTGCCCACAGAACCCGGAGTCGGTCAAAGCTTGCCCCAGTTGTGCATAGAAAAGGCATAAGCAAACAAAAACGGACTGTGATTGCCCCCTTACGACAAAGTGTCGGAATGGAAGGGCCAGTATTTGTAAAAGGGCCTTTTTCCCCTGCAGACTTAGTTATTTGGAAACAGTCAGCCGGAACTTAT